ACTCCACCCCATCTCCTTTCATTCATTCCACCCACTGCTCTAAGTACCAAATCCTCTTCCTCATTATACACGCCTCCTTGGGCTGGTGTGGGAAAGAGCATTTCTTAATTTTGCTTTAAGTAATTTTTTCCCATGAAAATTTATATGGTCTTCTTCCTAAGAGTTCCAATAAGACAGTATTTTGCTATTTTAAATGAACGTTTGCCGTCCCTTGACATTTTTGTCATATGTGTTCTCTGTTCAAGAAATACAAGAGGATAAAATACCAGGTTCCGTAAATCACAGCCTGACATATCTACACCCTCTTCCCTCAATGCACACAACTCATGTTTTTGGGGTGCCGGGTGAACATCTCTAAGCCTCTTTTGGGAAGTTTCTTATCAGCTTGGCCCAATTCCTCATTGAGAGGGAGAGAGTTTTTCACCTTTATGTGCAAGCCCATTTCTCCAGCACCTGCACCAGGAGATCTCCGATGAGGTTCCAAAGATGATTCATGTGCAGTTGACAGTAAGTCCATATGGGAGCCTTGGGGTTGAAGAATGCTTCTCCCAGAAGTTGGGATTCACAGCCAAGGTCTTCTAACGTGGTCCCTGGACCCAGGGTCTCTGCTTCCATGTACTGACAAAGCCCCACTGGGGATCCATGGCCTATTTCAGTCCTCCACCTACCTTTTCTCTGAGGATAGCCAACATTAGAGTCGTCTCCAGCCTTCTCTGCTTGCTCCCTTGGTTCCTTCTCTCATTTCCTGACTCATTCTTCAGGGATCTTGGTTTGAGTTTCCTTGTGAGTGTGGTTGGCCAAAGATGAACATTCTGTCTGTCTTCTGAACTCCAGCTAGGTCTTTTCATCTCAGAGGGTCCTGGCACCCTCCCATGTCTTTGTGGTATCTTCTCTCAGGCCAGGTCTTGGGGAGGGGCTTCCTGTGATCGAGACCCCCCACACCAGTGCACAGTGATGGGGCAATCACTTCCACTCTGAGCTGCAGGTATCTTCTGGGGCACCTTCTGAGAATTTCCTGTGTCATTTAAAAAATTTGCATTCAGAGATAATTACTATTCCACTTTATCTTTTGTGAATTACCTGCTGAAATCATTTTCCAGTTTTTCATTTGGAGGATTTATTCATTTTTTTGATTCTCAATAGTCCTTTGCACACAAAAAAGATATATTCCATTTAGCTGGCATATGTATTGCAAGGACTGTTCTCAGCTTGTCACTGACTTTCAATTTTGTTTCATACTTTGTTAATATACAAAGCATACTTTGACATCATAGTTTTTTTTTTTTTTGTACTGGGGATTGAACTCGGGACCTTGCGCATGCGAGGCAGGTGCTGGAACCACTGAGCTGAATCCCTGGCCCAGACATCATAGTTATTAAGAAGGTATTGTGTATCTTTAAGAAATTGATTTTTAAGGCTCTGTCATTATTTTCTAATCTCAGTAAATTTGATTCGAAAGTATATAGACTCAATTTATATAATTTTCTTCTTTTGAGAGATTTATTGAAGTTATACTGTGATCTAGTTTATGATCTTTTCTTTTAATTTTGGTTTTTTGAGACAGGGTCTTGCTATATAGTTCGGAGTGGCCTTGCACTCACTATGTAACCCAGGCTGGCCTTGAACTCACAGTGATCCTCCTGCCTCAGCCTCCCAAGTGCTGGGATTACAGGCATTCTATGATCTTTTCATAAATCCTTGAGCATTTGAACAGAAGTTTCACTCTCTGATACATTATTCCTTACATTACATGTATTTTTCACCATTTGTATGATATATTAGTAATATAACACTATATTTATATGGTATATATTTATTTATAAATATACATGGTATCTTTACCTTTTCTGTTTCATTAGTCAGAATCTAAGACATGGGTTAAAGTTTTCAAGTACTCTGTTTCTTCTATTGTGTTTTCCTTGAAGTTTCTTGACTAATGTATGTTTTAAAAAGTCATGTTAGTCCACTTAGTGGATTTTACTTTTCCTATTGGTTAAAAGTCTAGTTTGAGGCATTCACATTACTTTTGCAACAACTATTTTCTGTTTATTTGCCTCTGCTCATTATGTCCTTGTTAAACTTGTTATTTTTAAGGTTATTGAGCCATTCTATTTTAGGTATTTATGTTATGGCACACAGTTAGACTTTGATTACTTAGATGGTCTGGGGGATTGTCTCTATTTTAACTCCTTTATATTTATTGTCAAAGCAGAATGATGTTCTCTTACTTTTTTCATTTTTTATTACACAGTTTGAATATGTCCCTGCTATTTCTTTTTAAATGGATTGATTTTTATGTTTTATTTTACTTTACTTTTTTCCTATGGACTTTGACTTTGGTTTCCTTTGAGTTATTAAAAAATATAACTAGACATGTGATTCTTTATAGAAAGGCTTTCTGTTGATTTCCCCTTCTGAAGAAGAAGGCGTTATCAGAATTTTATTTTTGCAAGCTTTCCCACATCCTGCGCGCTTCTGTTTGTTAATTCTCTCTGAAGGACCCTGCTGTCTTAATAAACCACTCTGCTGGAATGATTGTCATGCTTCAGCAGCTGCCCTGCTTTGTGCAACTCTCAAACCCAATCACTTCACATAATTCCCAGGGACCCACATGTTACTTTACTGATAGATCTTCTACCACCAAGGACGCTGCCTCTTCACAGCCATTGCCACTGTCTCCAACAATTTCCTGCTCATTTGCTCTAACTATTAGAGCTCCAGGTCCCACTGAGTACACTGAGCTTTGAATCCACAGATCTGGACCACATAAGCCACAAAACAATTCCACAGGGAAGTTTTCCTGATGATTTCATCGCACATCTTGCCATTCATCCACAGGATTGGCTTAAACTGAGGAGAAAAAGACTGAGAGAAAAGTCTGTCTTGAAAGTCATCAAGGTGATAGAGATAAAAATTGGTGGTAGGTTAAACCAGAACAGTGACACAGATAACTGATTGGTTTAGACCTACAAAAGGCAGCTTCGTAAGGTCCATCCTAACAGCAGAGCTGGAAAGACAGAGGTAGATTTAACAAATGCTGCTATTGTCAACTGAGCAATAAGGCAAAGGAGGTCTACATATTGATGGTAGAATAGTCTCAGATTTATATGAAAAACTGTGAGAATGAAACATCCCAAGCCGAAATAATAGGGAGATCCAGAAAGGGAGAAGTAATAAACACTGACAGTTGTAGAAGGGTGTTCAAATAGTAATAATTACAGTAGACATTTGTTGAGAATATTCTATCGCCCTAATTAGCATATTAACTTTTTTAATACAAAAAATTCCACAATGAGGTAGACACTGAATTGTAGACAGAAACTGAGCCACAGAGCAATAAGGTATCTTGCCCAAGAAAACACACCAGTAGGTGGCATAGCCAGGACTCCAACTCAAGCCTTTTGATCCTGAGCTCAAGCACCACATCATCTCCCTTCTTAAGCAAGATGAAGACTGGAAAAATATTCACTGGACTTGGCAGTTAGGATTATTGCTAGTGTCTGTCATGAGAGCAGTTTTGGGAGTGTGTCGGAGACAAAATCCAAATTACTTAGCAGGCTGAGGTTTTGCAGGAGGGAGTAAGGAAATGTTGGGAGTGAGTGCTGATTCAACTTTTGAGAATTTGAAGTGTGATTGAAACACACCCGGCTGGTAATAGAGAAGAACCTACTACAAAGGGGTATTTTTCAAGAAAAGAAGCCCAAACATTTACATACGTCAAGGTCAGGGATAAAGACAGGGTTTGAAGATACAGGATAAAGAGAGAAAACTGAGAGAACCAAGAAGCTAGAAAATGCAGTGGGGAATCAAAGTCAAGAGTACTGGTGTTTCCTGCAGAGAAGAGATTGTTGTTAGTTTGGATAACGACTAGGTAGGTGGGTAGCACTTTAGAAATCAGCCCCTCTCTTGTTCTCTTGCCTCTTGAAAATGTGATGTCTGCTGGAACTGGGTGGGTGGATCATTTTTGTGGGGTACAGTAGTGGAGAGAGTAGATTTTCAGTAGGCTCAGCAATGTTGGAATAAAGGTGTAAAGGAATTGGAGCTTATGCAGAGAATTTTATGGGTATTAGCCAACATGTTGGGAGGAACTTGGGCTCTTGGAGTATACAGAAAGGTCCAGGTGTGTGGACAGACTCTAGAAGAACAGAGGTCTAGATACCATGTGAGTCTTAGAAGCAGACCAAAGAGAAGTGAATTGGGAGTGGGCTGTGGACTAGAAATTATATCGAAGTGTGGAAAAGTGGAATTTCCAGGTTTTAGAGTAGGAAAAGGTAAGCCTGAGGATACAGCTGCAATAGGTCGGAGATGAAGGTACCAATACTTAGGGACATCAAAGGCATTGCCCACAAAGCTATTCCTATCCTCTACATGAAGATAGAGGTTGGGTGTGGGGGAAGCTGCTAACTCAATTATGAAATTTTTAATAAGAAATGAGGCTGGAGTCAGAGTGAAGAATTCCAAGAACTTATTGCCCCCTGTGCCTGGATAACAACAGGTAGGTTGTTTCTTATTTTTAAAAGGTATTATTAGGAAACGTAGATGAAGTGTGTTACTTGGGAATGTAGAATCAAATCAGAGTGAATCCCCTCGGCTTATGCTGGTTTCCAAGGTAAGCATCTTTCTCAAACCCTTCAGAAGCGGGTTGGGACAGTAGAAAGTGGTTCTTCTCTGCCTCATTTGAAACCACAATGAAAGAAGTGCAAATTGGGGTCCTCAGGCCAGGTTCAGCTTGCTTTTCCTGCATCTAAGTGTTACTTCAGAAATCCATTAAAAATATTCCATGCGGCTGACTTCTGTCACTGGTCACCAGAGTGTGGTCCTTTTGCCTTGTTTTTAAATCCAAGTCAACTGGCAGGGTAGCTTGCCCTCCTAACATAGGGTTTCTTTGGTTGGTTCTGATGGGAAGCTGAAACATAAAAGGAACTGGGGGCTGGGCAGCCTCCTAAAATGAATGCCTAAAACAGCTTCTGCAAAATTGACTCCTGCCCTGTGTATTGCAGGTGATTTTTGAATCCGTCTCTTTGAAAGGTCATCCTGGCTACATCGCTGTGGACGAGGTCCGGGTCCTTGCTCATCCATGCAGTAAGTCTGACTCCTTCCCCCAAAGCAGCCTTGCTCCATGCCAGACTGGATAGCGGGGATGCTGCACCACCCCTATTCATTCAGCTCACAAACATCTCTCACTCGCTCTCTCTTTTAATCCTTCAAAAATGCTTCCATACCCAATGCAATCAGTCCTGAATAAATCCATAATTTTGCCGGCCTGTTCAACAGGCAACACCTCTAGGAATTTGCAGAGAGTGGCAAAACATCTTTGTTTGAATCTCTCTCCATTATTAAGGGAGTCTAAAGTCCTGATTGTTTATTAGTGGGATTCAGACCATTGAAGGGGAAGAATTAGAGGGCTTTGGATAGAATCTTGTGCAATTGTCTCAAAAAAAGGAATGACACCAAAACACTGAGAAAATTAGCACACTGTTCACTCACAGGGAAAAGTACCCCAGAGCTATTAATTCTTTAAAGAATAATTTAAAATATACTCATCAGCTTCATGTAGGCCTAGAGAGAGATTTCTGATAGGAGTTAGTACTTAGGGCACAGTATCAAGAATGCTCAGAGGCACACCATCCTCCATATCCATCCACTTTCCCCTTGAAGTTCCCCCTTTGTAGTATTTAGTTGAAGACACTTCAATGTGTTTCCTTTTCCCCGCTGAATCAAAGAGAGCAAGTCCTGAGTGAAGGTAACTGTGATGACATCATTTCTGGAGACATTTGTTCCAGGGCACTGTAATCAAAGAGCTATGCATGGGGATTACGGCAGCTTGCAGAAAGGGTAGCTGGGACGCTAGCCCCAGAGCTTGTCCTTACTCCGCGTTTTGGAGAGTCCTGTTAGTTTCCAGGTGGTCATCTAGTTCCAGATAACTTAGGAGAGCTCTCTCCACTCTCCTGGTATGGCCACAAGTCGTAGGGTTAGTCAGCTTTTTGGTACTATAAAGAAGTACCAGAGGCAGGATAATTTTGTAAAGAAAGTTGGTTTATTTAGCTCACAGTTTTAGGGTTCAAGGGCATGGCAGTGCAATCGGCTCAGATCTGGTGATGAGTTTGCTGGCAAAGTCCTGGAGCACTGCACATCATCCCATGGCAAGAGACAGGGAGCGCATGTGTGTCTGTGAGGTCTCTGTCTCTCTTCTTAAAAGAACACCAGGATTTCGTCATAAGTGCTTCACTGTAATGACCTTATTAAGCCTACTCACTTTCCAGAAACACCACTTCTAAACATCAGAGTTGGAATAAGTGGTCACCCACTCAATGCCAATGACTTTGGAGATTGAACTTTTGCATGAGTTGAGAGTTCAAACCATAGTAGTTGTGCTGTGGGCTCTGGTGTGGTTTGCTACTACTTCAAGAGACATCATATGTGCTCTCCTTAGGAACCTTGTAATTCTTTCATATGGGGGCTATTCTCATCTCAGCCCCATCCATCTTGCTTTAGTTGAAATTACTCTTTCCACTTTACTGCAGTGAATTTGTTGGCCCCGCAAACACCACATCTTTCCCTCTTCCTGGTGCTAGAATGCCAAAGTGTGACTCACTGTTTTTGAGCACCTTCTCTGGAGGAATTTGAGATAAATTCCAAGTTCCAGACAATGCTTGTATTTTGGAGAGCTCTTTCTCAGAAACTGGTCAACATCCCAGGAATGATGAAGTCTCCTAGTTACTTCGGTGCCCTGGCATAAAGTCCATACTCTGTGGGCTACTTCCTGTGTTTTTTAGACTTTCTTGGATGATTCCATCCATTTAGTCATGCCTGCAAAATATCTCTGCTGAACCAGACTTCATATGAAGAATATGCTAGAAGTCCCCCTAGCTATGCAGGCTTAACATAGTGGACATGCACATGAGTTCCCTTTACCAGGATTAAATACAGTATCTCCCTCCCTGACCCCTGTTAGCATCAGCTGCCCATTAAACTGTGATATTTGATTTAAGACTAGACAACTGTCAGGAGATGTCTGCCCTAACTGTGGTCCCTTTAACCATACGCTCAGCCCTGCATGGTCGCCAGTTATGGGCAGCCTCCCTGAAACAAGCCTTCTATCTTCATCAGGTCCTGTATGCATTCATCCTCATGCAACATTACTGCTTCATACCTTTATGCTGGATGTTTGGACTTGGCCTTACCAGTAGGTGATGCTTGGCTCTTTCCAGCAGAATATAGCATAACTTTCTCTCCCTGGATCCCAGAACTCTGTGCTCTAGTAGGAATTTTTACATCTACCATACCACCCAACCTTGTTACTATGTCTTGTCCCAGTCTGGTAAAAGTTCTATTTTAGCATTAAGCACTGTCCATAGCTGTCACCACTGGAAAACACTCCATTCCCTCTGATAAGGCTTCATGGGAGAGTGTTCTTTGGATGCCATTTGAATGCCTTTCCACCTCCAGAGTCTCCTGGCTCCTCTGGACTCTTCCTTTTGTTGGTGCTCTGTGAATTTAGGATTCTTATGACAACTTCCTCTTCCTCCTGCTGAGGAGTATGGATTGCATGGTTATAGAATTGCTGAGAGCCAGTTAGTTACCCAGCAAATGGGCCGTGGGATATAACTCAGGAAGACATGGCTCTGGCTTTATTCCTGCATAATGTGTTTTGTTGAGTTCAACCTCAGTTTCTTGGAGGCTTAAGAACAAATTTCCCAGAAACCACAATGTGGGGCCCCTGTAAGAGTGGCTAGAATTAGGAAAATCCCACTTAATTACGTGTGGAAATTTTGGTAGCATATACAGCTTCCTGGTATGTATTCATAGCCCATGGATCATGTGGAGTTGAGTAGGGCCTAACAAAAGCCCTTTCCCAAGGACCAGTGCTCAATCCATACCTAGCCCATGAGTTTTCACATCTTTTCTTTCAACAAGTAGATTATTGAGTGTGTGCTATGTATTCAAGAACAGCTCTGGGCAGTGTTTACTTAGGACAGACAAGTTAGGTCCTTGTGCTCACGATGTTTACTTAGCAAACTGGCAGTAGGAAGAAAGGCACTAATTAACTCAAATTAAATAAGTAATTAATAATTTCAGATCACTGTAAGTACTGTAATATAATGAATATGAGTGATAAGATTGGAGGATTCTTTAGGTAGATGGTCAGGTGAGCTCAGCTCTGAGCTGAGACTGGAATCATAGGAAGGAGCTTTCTGTGCAGTGGCTTGGGGACCTGAGTATTGCAGGCAGAGAAGATAGACCCAGGGTGGGAGTCATCCAGTGCTGTCAGTGTGTGTTGAGCAGTTGAAACAGAGGAGAAAGTGGTCCAAGGAAACATGGGTCCTGACCACTCAGGCCTTTGGGCATCATCCTAAACAACAGTTTAGATGCTAATTTAAGTGTAGGGAAGCAGTGCTGGAGATAGGTAGGACATCAGTTAGTTGCTTGGTGGGAAATGAGTTGAAGAACCACAGAGAAGGTCAGGAGATCTGTGAGGAGGGAAGTTCTGGAGCCATGCAAGAGATGGTGGGACTGGGACTAGGGTGGTGAAGAGCTATCCGTTTATCAACCAACAAGTATTTACTGAGCGTGGAGTTAGTGCCAGGCACTATTCTGGGTTTATGGGAGTGTGCTCTCTATTCATTCTCTTTATCATGAGCTTCCATTGAAGTGGAAGGGAGTGACAATAAAACAAGTAATGAGGTAATTATATGATATACAACAGATGATGAATGACTTTGCTAGGACTGCCATTACAAAATACCACACACTGGATGGTTTAAACAGCCAAAGCATATTTTCTTAAAGTTCTCGAGGCTAGAAGTCCAAGGTCAGGGTCTTGACGGGTTTGGCGTCTCGTGAGTCCTCTCTCCTTGGCTTGCAGATGTTCACCTTCTCACTGTGTCCTCACAGAGTCTTTCCTCTGTGTGTGGTCCGTGGGGTCTCTCGGTAGGTAAGAAATTTCCTCTTCTTATGAACACACCAGTCAGATTAGATCAGGTTCCACCCAATGGCCTCATTAGAACTTAATCACTTTGTTTAAGGCCCTGTTTCCAAATATAGTCACGTTCTAAAGCACTGGGGATCAGGGCTTCAAGGTATGATTTTGGCAGGGGACACAATTTAGCCCATGACAGATGGTAGGCAGTGCTGTGAAGAACCCTAAAACATAGAAATAGCAAGTGGTGGCTAGATCCTAGATGTATGTAGGGACTCTGGCTGACTGGTGTTATTTGATGAGTCGGAGTGGAAGACCAACGCGCCGGATCGTCTGTCTGCTCCCAGACCTTTGGCTTAAGGAAGGCAGTGGTGCACGTCTGTGGAGAGCTGAGCATGTGTGCTGCCTCCCGAGGTGCTGATCGCGGGCCTGGGGAGCTGCTTCTGAGACCAAATGGCATGCAATACGTAGTAGCTGTGACCTGTCCTTTACACTGCAAGTATTTTCCTCAGCCCCCAGCCTTAGAATTAATGTATTTAGGACTTTACTCACAAACTGTTAAAATTGAGCTATATTGAAGAATATATGTCTCCTTTAGGTCCTCCAGTTTTTAATTCTTCAGTCTGTCCTTCAAAACATGTTTGCCATTAATATATGACCAGAGTTTACCAAGAAGTGATTCCAGTAATTATTCCAAAAGTTCTGTCGGGGGAGTGAATGCCTGATTTGCAAGTTGTGTCATGTATCGATTAGAACTGAAGTGATGACTTTAAATGCTTTCCCGAAAGCTTCCAAAGCAGTGACCAACAGGTGTTATACTCAAAGGAAGTTATTTTCTCTTACAACCCAAAATCTCTTGTCTATATTTTATAGCCCATTTAACATTTTTTTTTTGTTATTCCAAAAGTATTTTAGCCAATAGTTACCATCGCTGCCGTTTTTCAGTGTTAGCCATTAGCAGGGCCTCTGCAGTTATAACTGTGTACGGTAAATGTCAGCATGATTTTCCACTTGGTTTCAAAGTTTCTAACTCCTAAGTTGACTTTTAGAATTTTTTAAAATCTATTTTTTTCCCATCACAACCTTGCAGACCATGTGCCTGAGCCCACAGAGCATCTGCAATGTGTTTCTAATGTATGTACTAAGCTTTATCTTCAATTGTGTGGCTTCCTACTGAGCTCTGTCAGGTTTAAAAGAGCGAGATAAAGGGCACAATAATATGTCTTCAGATGCTGCACTGACATCTGCCGGAGTTTAAATGTCACCAGCAGCAAGGCATTTTTGCCCCAAATGCGCAGCTAGCTTTCTCTTAACCCCATTCTGTGGGATCCCATTTTTGGGGGAGCTGAGTTTCCTAAGGGAGAAGAGAGGATGCTTAAAACCACACCTGAAGACTGGCCTGGGTATGGAGGTCAGCTGTGTTTGGCTGAAGGTTGGTGAGCTGAAGCTGGTGGAATAATTTCTCTCCCAGAGCTGAAGAGGCTGGGGCTGGGGTGGGAGGAGAAATAGTGGAAACAATGCTTGGTTGAAGAGGAGAGTGGAGTGGAGGAGAGGAGGAAGGGGTAAGAGAGGTCAGGAGCTCAGAGGAGGGTCACACAGGTCTGCAACATGAGGAGAGAGGTGTCTGCCCAGAGCCAGGAGTGAGCCCAGGCCTCGAGGAGCATAGAGAGGAGTGAGGGACAATGGGGAGAATGCTGAGCAAGAAGAGGTGGTTGAGATCATTTCCTGGGATTCAGGGCTCACGTTCACTCGCCCTCTACAGTGTGGTGCATGGAGGGATACGGATGTCGCTGAATTGAGGGGAGCAGGCAAAGCAAGGGTGGCCAGTGGAAATTGTTCCAGGTGACTTACGTGAGAGCGATATGCCAGGAACCACAAACTAATAGAGCCTGCCTGTTAATGTGTCTTGTTAAAATTGCACGTTTTTAAAAATTCAGTCATGATTTTAGATTGAGAGATTTCACGTGAAATCTGGATTTCTCTTGAGAAACCCTGAGGGAAGCGCGTTTGCCTTCCTTCCCTCCCTGTCCTGGTTTGAAGCAGCAGCTGCTCCCTTTCTGTGGGGCACAGGGTCTCTGCGGTTCGCCCAGACACCTACCACTCTTTCTTGCCCTCCCAATGTTGAGGCTGGGGTCAGATCCCAGATGTAACTGTGCTTGCAACACTGTTTCTCTTCCATAGAGAAGTCTTTATTTTACCCACATCTCTATCAAAAGTGGGAAAATGAAAGATGCGGCGAGGAGGTGGGGTTTTTGTTTTGATTTACAACAGAACCACTTTATTAATTTATATAACTGTCTAGTTCTTGTAGGTGTACAGGTTTGACATCTCTGCTGTAAATCACCGATGACTCCCCAGAATATTAATACCAGAGGCATTACACATCTAAATTCTGAATCCAGAAGGGAGGGAGGAGAGGGATGGAAGATGAAAGAATCAAGACAAAAGGTCTGTTGCTGAGAAAGGAGAAGTGGAGAGGAGAGGAGTCAGAAACAAGCTGAGGACATGGGTCTGGAGAAGATCTGTCTCTAACTGTAGACCTTAATTTTTTGTCAAGTGTCCCAAAGGGTAAGGGAAGAGCACCTCTTTGTAAAACCTCACCCAAAGATTCCCAGCACTGTAGCTAATATTCTTTATGCCCTTCTGCCATGGGGCATACATACCCCTCCAAACCTGTGGCATAAACTGACTTACAAGGTTCACTCTATTCCTTCTTGAAGAATTGACTTGAGCTGATAGTTCCAAAAATAACTTTACAAAATTATACAGGAGAGCCAAAAGAAAACAATTTCAGGCAATCAAAGCAGCATGACATTTGTCAGGTTGACTAGATGCAGGAATCTTAAACTCTGAGAAGTCCACCAGGAGTGGTATTTCCTGGCCCTTGGACCCTGGATGCCACTCTAGCCACAGGGTCCTGAAGATAACGTGTAGGGTCTCTGAGCTGTCGTCATTAGTTTAAAAACCTGAGCAGAAGGTGTCTATTTTCTCCCAGCAAGTGTGCCTGATCACACCAAGGTCCTTGGTTTTTGTGAAACAGTTTGGTAGACAAGTCAATTCAAAGTAAAAACCTAAGCAAGGAAAGGGGCCACTGGAAGATATTTTGGAGCAAGAAGAGGAGCCTGGAGAGTCAGCACAGTCTTGCCTGGGAGCCTAATGTCTGTCTGGTGACACTATCTTCACCCTCGATGCTCAAGACCCAAGAGAGTGTGCTATGTAAAACCCAAGTTTGGGGCTCAAATAGCACTGGAATGAGTTCTGTTTCTGTCTCTCACCGATGCTGTGTAGCTTCAGGAATATTAAATTTATTTGAATGTTGTCTTCTACCTCTCTAGCAGGGAAATGACAACAGCGTCTGCTTCTCAGGGGTGGAATAAGATTGAATTAGATAAAACATGCAAAGCATTTATCACAGTACCTGGCTGGGAGGAGTTTTCAGGAATGACATTATTGTTACTATTTGTCTGTCTGTGTTTAGCTCCCTCTGGAAAGATGGTGTGTGGATCCTCTTTGATCCCCTCAGAACTTTACACTGGGTCCCATTCTGGGCTAGTCTAGGCCAGGTTCACCACCGGTTTTGTCAGTGATGGTAGGGATCCTCTATTGTGCTCAAGAAGAAACTCATCCTTCTAGTCATAGATGGTCAGCTGATATAGAACTAACATTGCTGGTATTTGGAGAGCAAACGAGGAAAAGGGTGAATCCAAGTTACCCAACAGAAAACCTATGTTTAATCCTAGAATTGATTGTGTAGAGACATTGATTTCCATTCGAAAGCCCTTTCTGCTGCTCTCTGGTCCACAGCATCCATGTCTCACTACCCACTCTTGCTCAGGGAGCGCCACTGCTTAGAGCTAAGAGCACCTGTGGTCCTTGTAACCCCGGATTTCTCTGGATCCCAGTTCCCTCGCATACAGTTTAGCAGCGCCACTGCCCGCTGGCTTGGGTTCAATGAGTTATTGCACCTGACCCTGCGTGTGCTGTCTGTCCCATGGCAGGGCCCAGTGACTGAGGGCTACTAGCGCCCTCTTCCTGGCTCTCATCCTCCGCATTTCGTCCTCCTCACCTGCATTACAGCAGCAGCATCAAGGCCAAGGGCCGATCTGAAGCCAAAGATGCTTTACTTCAGCTTCATTTTTCTGCCCACCCAGGGAGCAGGAAGGCCTCTCTTACGGTGAATACCTTCCCCATTCCCCACCCCAATCTTTTGTTTTCCTGGCTTTGAATTCTCTGGTTCCGTCTTTCATTCAGTGCCAGTCCTGGGGGAAGTAGCCAATTTGGATGTGTTTAGGGTGCACGTGCCAGTTTTACAGCATAATATCACACAGCAGCTGGTAACAAGGACTTTGGGGGTCTCAGAGACCTGGGTTTCTGTCTTGCCTCCCTGCTTTCTGAGTGTCTGACTGGGTGAAGCTGTAGAATCCCTCGGAGCTTTAGATTTCTGTTCTGTGAGATGGGAATTTTGCGAGGCTTGAGTGAAATGACGTGTGTAAAGTCCATGGATTGGTGGCTGCCTCCGAAGTGACCCATCAGCTGTTGACCGAGCGAGACCTCTTCCCAGGGACACTTCCCGTGCTGCCCAGTGCCAATCGTCAGCTGCCATCCATGACAGGGCAGTGCTGCAGGCTGCTGAATACTGTCCTCACGTGCTCTTTGGTTTCTGTCTTAGGAAAAGCACCCCATTTTCTACGACTCCAAAACGTCGAGGTGAACGTGGGGCAGAATGCCACATTTCAGTGCATTGCTGGTGGGAAGTGGTCTCAGCATGACAAACTTTGGCTTCAGGTAAGAAGGGAGGAAGTGCCCGCTCCTACTGGTCCTTCCCTCTGTAAAGGAAGAAAGAATGTGACTGGCATCAGTGTACCCATTTCATAGATGGACAAACTGAGGCTAAACCTAAAAGTTCCAGATCTAGAAGTTATGACTATAACCTTCCCTAGCTACTGCCTTACAAACTTTGTCTTTTAAACCCAAACTACCAGGTCTAAGGCAAACTGAGCATTTTAGATTCTGGGTATGTGACATCACAAAATATTAATGTTGTTTATAACAGTTCTTGTATATACAGTGGTTCGCCAGTACACCTGGGCAAACAGTTCCTCTCTGTTCAGAATATATCCCTAAAACAAACTATCTGTTCTCTGGTTAAATGAATCCATCAGTGACATCCGTCAGGAAGGATTTTAAGCATGACTCTCTTTTTCTATTATTTGTGTCATTGATGCTGCTTCATTAACAAGATGAGAAAGAATCTCTTTGGGTGGGAGATAAAGGCAAGGAGTATACCACAGGACTGGAATACACACTGTGGTAGCATTAGGGTAGTCTTGCCAGTGTGAACACAGATACCGAATCCTGGGGCAACACAGAAGTTAGAGCAGTAGCCATGAGCTGCATGTGGCTGTGGCTAATCCCAGTACTCTGGGAGGCTGAGGCGGGAGGGTCACAAGTTCTCGTCCAGCCTTGGCAGCTTAACATCTTAATATGATTCTGGCTCAAGATAAAAAAAAAAATAGGGGTGATAAAGGCTGTGGGTTCAATCCTCAATACCACCACCAAAAATAATATTTTTTCTCAAGCAACTATATTGAGGTATAATTGAGATGTGATATTTAAAATATGTAACTTTTAAGTTTGCTATATGTTTACATGTAAAGCTACTTCTACAGTCAAGTTAATGAACACAAGTTATTGAAATAACCCCCTCAAAAAATTTCTTTTGGGCCGCGGATGTAGCTCAGTGGTTCCACCGCCTGCCTGGCAAGTGCAGGGTCCCGAGTTTGATCCCCGGTACCAAAAAAAAATGTCTTTCTCCCATTTCAATCTTCTCTTCTGCCCTCCCCACCACAATGTGCAGTAGGCAACCACTATCCTGCTTCTTGACACTATATATTCGTTTACATGATCTAGACTTTTATATAAGTGGAATCCTGCAATATATACTTCACTTCCACTGGACATAATTATTCTGAGATATATATGTTGTTGTATGCATCTATACTTTGTTAGTTAATGCCGAGAAATAGTCCGTTGTATGGTTACAGCACAGTTTATATATTCATTCATCTACTGATAGACACCTGTTGGGTTGTTTGCAGCTTTGGGGCTCTACAAAGAAGTTGCTGTGGACATGCATATGCAAGTCTTTGTGTGGACACAGTACTTTCTTTCTCTTGTGTAAACAGCTAGAAATGGAATGGCCAGGTCCCCAGGTAGACGGATGTTTAACTTTTTAAAGAACAACACGCTGTTTTCAAAAATGGTTGAACCATTTTACATTCCCACCAACAGTTTAGAAACGTTCTACTTGCTGCACCAGTGTCACCAGCCCTCACTGGGGTCAGTCCTTCCTTTTAGCTTTAGCCATTCGAATAGGTGTGTGATGGTATCTCTTCCTGGTTTTAAATTTCATTTCCCTGATGACTAAGGACATTGTTTTCATGTGCTCATTTTCCCACATAGTTCCATGTATTCTTTGATGGGAGTTCACACTGTCACCTCTCTTCTTAAATGTGAGCCCATTTCCTGCAGTTAGAAACTCCCTGGGGAGAAAAAGCCCATCTACAGACTAATAGTTCTTTCTTGCTACTTAGCAGCACAGCAAACTGCAACGCACCACAGCAAAGAGGGCTGTCTGCTCCTCCTTCCAAGTCGCTCCAGTATTAGGCAGTGTTATTTACTCTTTTCATTATAATTAGTATTAAACTGCAGCTTGGACCCAAGAAACTTTGTCATTTCAATGGCATTGCCTGGGCTAGGTCTGGAGAATGAACTGGGACAGTCACAACATTTTGAGCAACTTTATTTGGGTTTTTCAATTATTTGAGGATTGTTATTGCTACAGTTCTGAGGTGCAGTCTCTAAAGCTTAGGTCTGTTAGCGTGGGGATATTGAAGCAGAACATAATGGAAGTTTTGAGGAAAATTGATAGGAACACACATTGTACGGTTCTTCCACATCTTATCATTTATTTATCTATTTTTCAATGTAAACCAAATCTTATTTCAAGGAACATTTTTCAGGCGGTTTACAATGAGATATAAAACATGACAAGACGGCATAAATTAAAAGTGAGGTAACACAAGGTAGTAGGAAAGACCACACTGGAGCTGATAATAATGCAAAAACTGCATTCTGAACACCTGCTGCTGAGGGGTGTGTCACAAACAGGGCCCACAGCAACACCTCTGGCAGTGGAATAAAGACAACTTGTCAGATGGATGGTTCACGACATCTGTGAGATAAACACAAACCAAGTGCTCAGGAAAATTCTAACTGTTGTTCACACAGAGGCCCAGACAGGAAGTGTTCCCCAGAGTCCTCGTAAAGAAAACACTGTGTGATGTCATGAACAGCGTCCCCACCGCAGCCTTAGTGAGGGTTCACAGGTGGCTTTCCTAGGCCTGGTCCACACAATGATGCTCTGTGTAAAAGCAATCTGGGAAAGGGAGGAGAGGGAGGGGAGCGGTGGAAGAGCTATGCTGGAGGTCCCCAGCTCTCTGCTACTCTGTCTCCACCCTGGGATGCTTCAAACATAGCCAGTGAGGGAATATACTTGATAACTATTTCTCCAAGGAACCCTCCCTAAGGATTGTCTCCCTTATCTGTATTTCAGGAAAAACTGAGAAGGAGAATATTTTCACTAGACTCTGGCAAATGCTTGCGTGGCTAATTAAGTCCAGGCTTATATACAGCAGTACAGTTGGAAATACGCTGTGCTAGTCAGAGTTCTTCAGAGAAACAGAACCAGTGGGCCACACACACACATGCGAGTGCACACACAGGAAGAGATTTATTAGGAGGAATTGGCTCACAGGGTTACGGAGGTTGAAAAGCCCTACAAGCCGTTATCTAAAAGCTGGAGCCCTCAGCAAGGTGGGGTGGCCTTTCACTACAAATCTGAAGCTCTGAGACCCGGAGGGGCTGATGGTGTGAATCCCAGTTCAAGGGGAGAATACTGATGGACCAGTTCAGGCAGGTGGGTGGGAAACAAAGTGGCAAAATCCTCCTTCCTGGGCTTTTTGTTCTGTTCCGGTCCTTGAAAGACCAGATGAGCCCATCCACTTTGGGGAAGGCAGTCTGTGGTAGTAAGCCCACTGATTCAAATGTTGATTTCCTCCAGGAGCAACCTAACCGACACACTCAGAAACAATGCTGAATCTGGGCAGCCTGTGGCCCCAGTTGACACACCATATTAATCATCACAGAGGTCAACATCTTTCTGCAAAACAGGAGGTGCCTGGCGAGACATCACCACCCAGGAGATGGCTGTAGTCCTGCTGTGAGACAGGCCATGACAATACAGATTTCTCACCAGGCACTGCTTTGGCTCCGGTCCAGCACCTAGGCTTTGGCAGACTTGCTGGGGTGACAGCCGGAGAGTTTCCAAAGCAAGTGAAATGGACACATTGTGGCCAAAAGAGTGATCCTGTGACATCCTGTCCCATGTTTCACTAGTGCTATTTCCTGCTGCAGCTTCCACCGTAAGCTCAGGAATTTCACTATCTCACCAAAGGGAGGAACTTTTTAATCCATTACTTTGAGTCAGGGAAAGTCTTGGTTTCCAAAATTCGGTATCAGTGGTCATTTTTTCTGCAGTGGTACTGAAGCAGTCCTTGGACTCACAGTTTGAGAGAAATCCTTGCCACCTATATCATGTAGACTTGTTTCTCTCCCTTTTCACAGAGCAGAACTCTGTAGCCTGCTTTTCTTTAAGTGTTTTCAGATCAAAAATTAGATTAAAGGGAAACACCAGTCCACATCACTAGTTTGTGTCTTTCTGGAAAGTTTATATGCTCTTTAGAGACTTCATTTGCTTCTGTTGACTTTCATGCAATTGCAGTGCAAGTTTTTGGCCAAGACCTATATGGAAATGGATATAGCTGAGCTTAGAATAGTCCTTGAGCTTCAGGGCAAAGGCTAAAAAAAGACCAGTAAATAGTATGAATAAGCTTGTCTCGTCCTGGATTGGTCTCCTGTTGAGGTGAAGAGGATAATGCTGTGGTCCATGGTTAATAGACTTCATTCAAAATTCCTTATGATACAGTGATCTAAGGAACCCAAACTTCTCAATTTTCTAGCAATTTTTCAAGGAACTAGTGGTATATATTTAAAGTAGAATATCCGATATGCAGAGTGGTTTACAGTTTAGGGAAGCTTTTTTAGAAAAAGGGTAAAAAGAAGTGGGACTTCACTGACAGACTTGTCTCTGCAACATAGCAAAAGCGTAAATGTGTCCATCTTTTCTGAAAGATATTTAGGCAGTATTTATGTACAGTTTTAAATGTGCATATTCACCCAATGGATGATTTTACTGTTGGTAATGTATAAGGATATTACCAGGAATGTGGGCCAAAAGTTCAACAGGATACAGAACTAGGAAGAATCCAAATATTCAGCAAGAGAGATTAATTAAGTAAATGCTGGAATGAAGCAACTGAATATCTGATTATAGACTTTACTCAATAGCATTTTCACAGTATGTAATTAAGTAAAAAAACAAGTTATGAAATAATATTTAAAGTTTTATGAAAAACACATATATATGAACATATTCATATACATACGCATATAATATATACACATCCTGATATACACATACACATATAATACTATAAAACAAATATGAACATACTTGTCATTACGGATCATGTATGCTTTTTACTTTCATTTCCAGTTTCTGTTTCATCCAGATATTATAAAATGAACATGGGAAACTAATATACACAGAAATATATGCTGTTAAATAATGACAAAGTGGTCACTTTTCTCTAGATATGGACTAT